TTGTTTATCAATCTTTGTTTGTAATAACTATTTGTGATAATTGTTATTGTGAATTGTACTGTTGTGTGTATATTAAAACGTATCTGTGTTAAAAAGAAAACTGTGTATCAATCTTGTTGGCAAATATCATAAACTGACTATGTATATCGGCATTTATTTAAATACTAAATCCGAAGTACGATTTAACTACTAAATTTAAATTATCAGTTAACTCGACTTCGGACTATTCGAAATTCTAATACGTAACAGCTGCCATACAAACCATAAGCAAAACAAGACGTTACAGGACAAGTCATGCAGGTAAAAGTAGATTCAGTGTAGTATCAGTCCTCGTCTTAACTATTCTCCTACATGCTCGACTTTTAAACATAATCTATAGAAATGTCGACACCCGCTATTACTTGCACACCGTATGAAATTTTTAGATCCCGGAAAATTATAGAATATATCATAACTTAATAATGCTAAGAATCACCTTGTAACGACGATATAATATTGCTGAAATTTCCCGAAATGACAAAACGGTAATGTTTCCTCGCTGGTTCGCCCACTCCTAAATAGGTGTCGCTGGTTTGCACATTACAGAAACCATCAAGTTTTCCCCTTATAAAAATTGCTATTGAAACAAAAAGCTACGAAACACAGGCTCACTCAATCGACCGAAACTCTTTTTACGAAATTTATATTTTTTCCTTCAGTTCAAGTAGTGTGACCAACGTTACGAGCCGCAAGCAGTATTATTTTGATGTGGTTCGCTTGAACCTAACCTGTTAGCCGCCAGCCATATGGCATTCATGTGAAGAATTAATACACACTTTACCTCCGCTTCCTACACCCCCCCCCACCACCACCAGTGACACAGCGGTATGTTTGCGTACTTATACCGCTAAAACCGGGTTTCGATACCCGTGGTGGGCAGAGCACAGATAGCCCTTGGTGTAGCTTTGTGCTTAATAACAAACAACAACAACCTCTGCTTCCGGCGAATGTCTCTAAAGACATGCTTTCCATGTTCGTGCATTGATCAGTTTTGAGACCTGGTTCCCTGTATTTTAATTTTCAAGTCTTGTTTACATAGCTCTGCAGATTTAAATTTTATTGAAAATAATGCGAGAAACAACTAAGCTAAAAAACGACAGTTTAAACGTTTCTGTCAGTTTTCAGACAAAGCCAAATCTGAGAGCCCTCAAAACTCTCCCGATTAGGTAGACCCAAAATGGCCACATGGTCAGGGCGCTTGACTCATAATCTGAGGGACGCAGGTTCAAATCCCAGTCCTAGCAATCATGCTCACCGTTTCAGCCCTAGTGGCATTATAATGCGACAGTCAATCCCACTGTTCGTTGGTTAGAGTAGTCCAAGAGTTGGCGGTGGGTGGTGAACAATAGCTGCCTTCCCTCTAGTCTTTCACTACTAAATTTGGGACGGCTAGTGCAGATAGCCCTCGTGTAGCTTTGGGCAAAATTCCAAAAATCGACCAAACAAACAAACAATCCCCATTAGGAGTGCTCCAGTATGAACATTTTAAAATCTAAGCGTGAATACTTATTTTTGACGATCCTTTCTAAGTCCATGCCAATTTTCATTTAAATCAGTGAAGCCACAGGTGGGAGGCCCGAAAGCCCTTTTGACCTTCAATGAGGGGGTCAAATTTGAAAATTTTCCAAAATTTGAATTTAGATTATTGTTTGGAACAGTTCTCTACATGTTAATACCAATTTTCAATTTAATCGGTTCAGTCAAACCTGAGAACATCGAAAACCTATTCATCCCTTTCCGCCCCTAGATGGTTCATCAGTAAACTTGAGGAATTATAACGATGAAATTCGGCTCATTGTTTGCCTTTGTGCTTAAAGCAGACAAAACAAATAAACCTTGACCCCATTTTTGTCGACCCTCAACTCTTTCAATCTTTTTCTCTTTTTACTTATATTCTGTGGCGGTTAATTTGTGTGGTACCTGAAGGTCCCGAGTATACAGTTAAAAATGACCTAAATACCTATGAAGAAAGAATAAACGAGTCTACATGGAAGTCGTATTGTAAAATAATGTGAAAAAATATCAAGAAAACATCGATACACACGAGCACACATAGATATGACTTAGAATTATTATACTGATAATCAACGGTGACTTTGTATTTATTAGTTGTTTTTTAAACATCCAAATCTAAATGAAAAAAATAATAATAATCAGAATGCTTAACCCGCTACGAGAATTTATATAGTAATATTTTGCTATCACTGCCAAACAATTAATACGTAGGGAGGCGCAAGAGCCTCATGGCTATGTGGGTTCTGAACGAGACAAAAACTAGAGAACAGTATGAATACTATACTGACAAAACTCTCCAGCGACTAACTAACCTACGGTCAGATGCTATCATAATCTCAGATGGAATACGTCACTAGGCCATAAATATTAATACAGACCTATCGGAAATTACCGTATTATACAGAATATAAGACGCACCTTTATTTTGAAGACAAGGTTTTGGGATAAAAAAAGCTAGTCGTATTTGAAAGATTTTTATCGAACAAAATTCAATTTGATACTTTAAAATTAGTATATATATTGTTCTAAACACAAAAGAGTAC